TTAAAAAGAAACAGTAAAAATATTAATAGGTTAGCTGGGTGGAATGGCCCATGCCTGTAGTCCCAGCTACTCAGGAGGCTCAGCAAGAGGATGGCTTGAGCCCAAGAGTTCCAGACCAGCCTGGCTACCTTAGGGAGATCCCTTCTCTTAAAAATAATAAGTTATTGCCAAATTTGGGGCATTTGGAAAGAAGTTCATTGAAGATAAAGCAGAAGTAAAAAAATAAGGGGAAAGGGTTGGTTAGGCAATCATTAATTCTAGGGCAGAAAGAAGTACAGGATAGGAAGAGCATAATATGCTGTTTTTCTCAACAAGGAGCAATACATACACAGTCATAATGATGTGGTGACTGCTTAGCCCCTAAATATGGTAACCACTTTGGGACAATATGGGAGGAAGTAAAGATAGTGATGATGTAAGAGCTAAATCCTCACCTGTTATATCCAGAAATCACTATATAATGTATAAAATAATTAAGAAATGACTAAGTAGTTATGTGAGGAAAAAAACAGAAGACATTGCTGGAAGTCATTGCTCTGGAGAATTAGGAGGGATGGGGCAGGGGACTGTTAGGATGCATTATAAACTGAAGAGGTTTTTTAAAATTTTATGTATTAATATATGCATTCACTTGAAAAACTAAAAAAATAACAATTTGGAAAAACCCATGAAGGTAACTAACAGAAGGAAAAACTAAGAGAATGAAAAGTGTTTGCCTCTGGAAAGAACAACTGGCAGGACTGTTGTTTTCATTGTAAGACTTTTGGAGCCATTTAATTGTACTTAACCATTTTAATCTATTTCTTGAATAAGAACAATTCTATCTTAAAAAAGAGTTACACTTGTTCATTAAAAAAAAAATAACTAAAAATGGATCATGGACCTAAAATTATAATATGAAAGTGCTAGAAAATGGGAGAAAATGAAACCTTGGGTTAAGCAAGATTTCTTAGAATGCAAAAAGCACAGCACAAAAAAGAAAAAAATGGTAAATTTAACTTCATCAAAATTAGAATGTCTCCCCTTTGAATGACACTGTTAAGAAAATGAAGGGGAGGGGCAAGAAGGTTGAATAGAAACAGCTCCAGTCTGCAGCTCCCGGTGGGACCAATGCAGAAGGGGGTGATTTCTGCATTTCCAACTGAAGTACTCAGTTCATCTCACTGGGACTGTTTAGGCAGTGGGTGCAACCCATGGAGAGCGAGCAGAAGCAGGGTGGGGCATTGCTTTATCCAGGAAGTGCAAGGAGCCAGGGGACCTCTCAAGGGAAGCCATGAGGTATTGTGCTACCCGCCCGGGTACTACACTTTTCTCATGGATTTTGCAATCAGCAGATCAGATTTCCTGGTGAGCCTACACCACCAGGGCCCTGAGTTTCAAGCACAAAACTAGGTGGCTGTTTGGGCAGGCACCCAGCTAGCTGCAGGAGTTTGTTCATACCCTAGTGGCACCTGGAACCCTGGCAAGACAGAACCATTCACTCCCCTTGAAAGGGAGCTGAAGCCAGGGAGCCAAGTGGTTTCACTCAGCAGGTTCCACTCCCATGGAGCCCAGCAAGCTAAGAACCACTGACTTGAAATTCTTGCTGCCAGCACAGCAGTCTGGTCGATCTAGGACGATTGAGCTTGGTGGGAGGAGGGGCATCTGCGATTACGGAGGCTTTAGTAGGCCGTTCTTCCCTGACAGTGCTAAGGAGATGGAGAGGTGTGGACTGGGCGGAATTTGCCACAGGGCGGCAAAGCGACTGTGGCCAGAGTGCTTATCTAGATTTCTCCTCACTGGTCAGGGCATCTCTGAAGAAAATGCAGCAGCCCTAGTCAGGGGCTTACAGATGAAACGCTCATCTCCCTGGGACAGAGCACCTGAGGGGAGGGGCTGCTGTGGGCACAGCTTCAGCGGATTTAATCTTTCCTGCCTGCTGGCTCTGAAGACAGCAGCTGATCCTGACAAGGGGGATTCTCCCAGGAGAGCACACCAGCTCTGCTAAGGGACAGACTGACTCCTCAGGTGGGTAACTGACCCCAATGCTGACTAGACAGTTAAAGATGTGCTGAAGCTACACATTAAACCTCCCAACAGGGGTCAACAGACACCTCATACAGGAGAGCTCTGGCTGGCATCAGGCTGGTGTCCCTCTGGGATGAAGCTTCCAGAGGAAGGAGCAGGCTGCAATCTTTGATGTTCTGCAGCCTTCCAGGCAAACAGGGTCTGGAGTGGACCTCCAACAAACTACAGCAGACCTGCAGAAGAGGGGCCTGACTGTTAGAAGAAAAACCAACAAACAGAAAGCAGCAACAACATCAACAAAAAGGACCCCCACACAAAAACCCCATCCAAAGGTCATCAGCCTCAAAGATCAAAGGTAGATAAATCCATGAAGATGAGGAAAAATCAGTGCAAAAATGCTGAAAATTCCAAAAACCAGAATGCCTCTCCAGTAAGGGCATAAAACTGGATGGAGAATAAGATTAACAAACTGACAGAGGCAGGCTTCAGAAGGTGGGTGATAACAAACTCCTCTGATCTAAAGGAGCATGTTCTAACCCAATGCAAGGAAGCTAAGAACCTTGATAAAAGGTTACAGGAACTGCTAACTAGAATAACCAGTTTAGAGAGGAACATAAATAACTTGATGAAGCTAAAAAACAAACAAACAAAAAAACCAAAAAGCAAAACAACATGAGAACTTCAGGAAGCATACACAAGTATCAATAGCTGAATCAATCAAGCAGAAGAAAGGATATCAGAGATTGAAGATCACCTTGCTGAAAAAAGGCATGAAGACAAGATTAGAGAAAAAAGAATGAAAAAGAATGAACAAAGCCTTCAGGAAATATGGGACTATGTGAAAAGACTAAACCTATGATTGATTGGTGTACCTGAAAGTGACAGGAAGAATGGAATCAAGTTGGAAAACACATTTCATGATATTATCCAGGAGAACTTCCCCAACCTAGAAAGACAGGCCAACATTCAAATTCAGGAAATACAGAGAACACCACTAAAATACTCCTCGAGAAGATCAACCCCAAGGCACATAATCGTCAGATTCTCCAAGGTTGAAATGAAGGAAAAAATGTTAAGGGCAGCCAGAGAGAAAGGCCAGGTCACCTACAAAGGGAAGCCCATCAGACTAACAGTGGATCTCTCTGCAGAAACCCTACAAGCCAGAAGAGAGTGGGGGCCAATATTCAACATTCTTAAAGAAAAGAATTTTTCAGCCCAGAATTTCATATCCAGCCAAACTAAGCTTCAAAAGCAAAGGAGAAATAAAACCCTTTCCAGACAAGGAAATGCTGAGGGATTTTGTCACCACCAGGCCTGACTTACAAGAACTCCTGAAGGAAGCACTAAATATGGAAAGGAAAAACTGGTAACAGCCACTGCAAAAACACACCTAAATATAAGACTATTGACACTATGAAGAAACTGCATCTACTAATGTGCAAAATAACCAGCTAGCATCATGATGACAGCATCAAATTCACACATAACAATATTGACCTTAAATGTAAATGTGCCAAATGCCCCAATTAAAAGACACAGACTGGCAAATTGGATAAAAAGTCAAGACCCATCAGTGTGCTATATTCAAGAGACCCATCTTATGTTCAAAGACACACATAGGCTCAAAATAAAGGGATGAAGGAATATTTACCAAGAAGCAAAAAAAAGCAATTTTTTTTTCTTGCTTGCAAGTAGGTTGCAATCCTAGTCTTTGATAAAACAGACGTTAAACCAACAAAGATCAAAAAAGACAAAGAAGGGCATCACATAATGGTAAAGGGATCAATGCAACAAGAAGAGTTAACTATCCTAAATATATATGCATCCAATACAGGAGCACCCAGATTTGTAAAACAAGTTCTTAGAGACCTACAAAGATACTTAGGCTCCCAGACAATAATAGTGGGGGACTTTAACACCCCAATGTCAATATTAGACAGATCAATGAGACAGAAAATTAACAAGGATATTCAGGACTTGAACTCAGCTGCGGACCTAATAGATATCTACAGAACTCTCCACCCTAAATCAAGAGAATATACATTCTTCTTAGTGCCACATGGCACTTATTCTTAAACTGGCCGCATACTTGGAAGTAAAGGACTCCTCAGCAAATGCAAAAGAATGGAAATCATAACAGTCTATCAGACCATAGTGCAATCAAATTTGAATTTAGGATTAAGAAACTTACTCAAGACTTTCGCTCGCCGAGGCGCGTATCAGTCAGAATTTTGAGGAGCCAACCACGCCGTCTGTCTCTGGCAAGCCAGTGGCGGTTTAAAGGAGGTGGTGGGAAGCCTGTGTGTGCTCGACTTCGTGACCCTCATGGTCGCTCCGGTTTTTCACACCTGAAAATAACATAGCAAAATAAGCCAAGATGTCTGTGAATCCAATGACCTATGAGGCCCAGTTCTTTGGCTTCATGCCACAAACGTGCATGCTTCGAATCTACATTGCATTTCAAGACTACCTATTTGAAGTGATGCAGGCCGTTGAACAGGTTATTCTGAAGAAGCTGGATGGCATCCCAGACTGTGACATTAGCCCAGTTCAGATTCGCAAATGCACCGAGAAGTTTCTTTGCTTCATGAAAGGACATTTTGATAACCTTTTTAGCAAAATGGAGCAACTGTTTTTGCAGCTGATTTTACGTATTCCCTCAAACATCTTGCTTCCTGAAGATAAATGTAAGGAGATACCTTATAGTGAGGAAGATTTTCAGCGTCTCCAGAAAGATTTTGAACAGTTACAGGAGAAGTACAAGACTGAATTATGTATTAAGCAGGCCCCTCTTGCAGAATTAGAAGAGCAAAAAATTGTTCAGGCCAAACTCAAACAGACGTTGACTTTCTTTGATGAGCTTCAAAATGTTGTCAGAGATCATGGGACTAGTGATTTTAGGGAGAGTTTAGTGTCCCTGGTTCAGAACTCCAGAAAACTACAGAACATTAGAGACAGTGTGGAAAAGGAATCGAAATGACTGAAAATATCTTAATTGCTCAGTAGTCAAAAGGAGGAGCCTGTCAAAAAGTAGAATCATAAGGAATTTATACCAGTGACTGTTCAAACCAACCATACTTTTTATTAGATTTGCTTTGTCAACTCTTTCTTGTATTCTGTGTCTTCCTCTTTTTTGGTCCACTTTCCTGAGGTATGTGTGTACTACTTTGAACTACGCTGCAGCATCTGTTCCTTAGAGTCTTCTAATGAGTGGGAAGGGATCAAATGAAGAAGCCATGGCCAGTTAAAGATATTTGCAGAGTTACACCTCGGTCATAAGTTCTTTGTGACCTTGATGATTTTGACTTACTCTTTGGATGAGACCAGATGAGCAAAGGATTAAATGGGTGGCTCCTTTAGTATTATTGTTATTTTTGAGGCAAAGTCCCCTTCTGTTACGCAGGTTAGAGTAGAGTTCAGTGGCACAGTCTTGGCTCACTGCAGCCTCTGTGTCCTGGGCTCAAGTGATCCTCCTGCCTCAGCCTCCCAAGTAGCTAGGACCACAGGTGCATGTCACCATGCCTTGCTAATTGTTTTTGCAGAAACGAGGCCTCGCTATATTGCCCAGGCTGAGTGGCTTTTTTATTAACCAGTCATTACACTGTGGGACAGCCAACATAGAGTACTTTCTCTCACCCTGTAAATTTTCTTACATCAGGGAGTCAATATGTAGTGGAAAGAAGCGTGTAGCAAAAAAGACAACCTTGGTCTTTAATAAAAAAGAAGTTGGTTTATTTCCAAAATAAATCTGACCAAAAAAACCTGGTGATGTTAAGCAATTTACTGTCTTAGAGTCCTGCTGGAGAAGACCTTAGACAAAAAAAGAGAACCCACTGGAATAGAGAAGGAAGCATATAGCATACTCAGTAGTGAAATTTAATTTTACTGACTGTTAGGTATCTATGCCAATTTATTTTCATACTTCAGTTGGTTTCAGAATCTGCCTTATACCTAATATTTAATTATTTATTCACACTCACAAGCATCAAACATTTAATTCCCTCAGTGGGAAATTTGTGTTTAAACTCAATGGGATCTAATATTTCTTTATGTCATTAGTCCCTGTAAAATGTTAGGTCACCCAAGGAAAGGGGAGAAATAGCAATGGCTGCTCCTAAGGTGTTGCTAGCCCTCCATGTCTTCCTAAAGAGCAGAACTTGGAGTTTCTCCTTTATGTAGAGAAGAAGTAACTTAGGGTGTATTTGCAAAGAAATATTCATAGACACTGAAAGCTTGTGTTTACATGAAATATGTTTATTATCAAGAAGTCCTTTTTCCAATTCTGTACATTAAATAAATATGTTTTAAAAGGAAAAAAAAAAAGGAGACTTACTCAAAACCGCACAACTACATGGAAGTTGAACAGCCTGCTCCTGAATGGCTTCTGGGTAAACAACAAAATTAAGGAAGAAATAAAGAAGTTCTTTGAGACCAATGAGAACAAAGAGACAATGTACCAGAATATCTGGGACACAGTTAATGCAGAGTTTAGAGGGAAATTTACAGCACTAAATGCCCACATCGGGAAGCTGGAAAGATCTGAAATTGACACCTTAACATCACAATTAAAAGAACTAAAGAAGCCACCAGGTGCGGTGGCTCACACCTGTAATCCCAGTACTTTGGGAGGCTGAGGTGGGTGGATCATGAGGTCAGGAGTTCGAGGCCAGCCTGGCCAACATGGTGAAATCCCATCTGTACTAAAAATATAAAAATTAGTTGGATGTGATGGTGGGTGACTGTAGTCCCAGCTACTTGGAAGGCTGAGCAGGAGAATAGCTTGATCCTGGGAGGCAGAGGTTGCAGTGAGCCGAGATCCCACCATTGCACTCCAGCCTGGGACAGAGCAATACTCTGTTTGAGAAAAAAAAAAAAAACTAGAGAAGCAAGAGCAAACAAATTCAAAAGCTAGCAGGAGACAAGAAATAACTAAGATCAGATCAGAACTGAAGGAGATAGAGACACGAAAAACCCTTCAAAAAATCAATGAATCCGGGAGATGGTTTTTTGAAAAAATTAACAAAATAGATAGACCACTAGCTACACTAATAAAGAAGAAAAGACAGAAGAATCAAATAGACACAATAAAAAATGATAAAGGGCATATCACCACTGATCCCACAGAAATACAACCACCATCAGAGAATACTATAAACACCTCTATGCAAATAAACTAGAAAATCTAGAAGAAATCCCTCCCAAGACTAAACCAGGAAGAAGTTGAATCCCTGAATAGACCAATAACAAGTTCTGAAATTGAGAAAGTAATTAATAGCCTACCAAAACAAAAAAAGCCCAGGAACAGAAGGATTCATAGCTGAATTCTACCAGAGGTACAAAGAGGAGCTGGTACCATTCCTTTGGAAACTATTCCAATCAATAGAAAAAGGACTCCTTCCTGACTCACTTTACGAGGCCAACATCATCCTGATACCAAAACCTGAGACACACACACACACACACACACACGAAAACAAAATTTTCAGGCCAATATCCCTGATGAACATCAATGCAAAAATCCTCAATAAAATACTGGTAAATCAAATCCAGCAGCACATTCAAAGCTTATCCACAACGATCAACTCTGCTTCATCCCCAGGATGCAAGGTTGGTTCAACATATGCAAATCAATAAACGTAATCAATCACATAAGCAGAACCAATGACAAAAACCACATGATTATGTCAATAGATGCAGAAAAGGCCTTCGATAAAATTCAACATGACTTCATGCAAAAAACTCTCAATAAACTACGTATTGATGGAACATATGTCAAAATAATAAGAGCTATTTGTTACAAACCCATAGCCAATATTATACTGAGTGGGCAAAAGGTGGAAGCTACGAGCTGCCTGATGGCCAGGTCATCACCAACGGCAATGAGCGGTTCCACTGTCCCGAGGCACTCTTCCAGCCTTCCTTCCTGGGCATGGAATCCTGTGGCATCCACGAAACTACCTTCAACTCCATCATGAAGTGTGATGTGGACATCTGCAAACACCTGTACATCAACACAGTGCTGTCTGGCGGCACCACCATGTACCCTGGCCATCGCGGACAGGATGCAGAAGGAGATCACTTAGCCCTGGTGCCCAGCACGATGAAGATCAAGATCATTGCTCCTCCTGAGTGCAAGTACTCCGTGTGGATCGGCACCTCTATCCTGGCCTCTCTGTCCACCTTCCAGCAGATATGGATCAGCAAGCAGGAGTATGATGAGTCTGGCCCCTCCATCGCCCACTGCAAATGCTCCTGTGCAGACTGTGACTTAGTTACATTACACCCTTTCTTGACAAAACCTAACTTGCACAGAAAACAATATGAAATTGGCATGGCTTTATTTGTTTTTTTGTTTGTTTCTTTCTTTTTTTTTTGGCTTGACTCAGGATTTAAAAACTGGAACGGTGAAGGTGACAGCGGTCGGTTGGAGTGAGCATCCCCCAGAGTTCTACAATGTGGTCAAGGACTTTGATTGTACGTTGTTCTTTTTTTTTTTTTAAATAGTCATTCCAAATATTGTGAGATGAATTGTTACAGGAAGTTCCTTGCCCTCCTAAAAGCCACCCCACTTCTCTCTAAGGAGAATGGCCCAGTCCTCTCCTACGTCCACACAGGGGAAGTGATAGAATTGCTCTGATGTAAATTATGTAATGCAAAATTTTTTAAATCTTTGCCTTAACGCTTTTTTATTTTGTTTTATTTTGAATGATCAGCCTTTGTGGCCCCCCTTTTTTGTCCCCCAACTTGAGATGTATGAAGGCTTTTGGTCTCCCTGGGAGTAGGTGGAGGCAGCCGGGGCTTACCTGTACACTGACTTGAGACCAGTTGAATAAAAGTGCACACCTTAAAAAAAACAAAAAACAAAAAACAAAAAAACAAAACTTAGATGACAGGTTGATTGGTGCAGCAAACCACCATGGCACATGTATACCTATGTTAACAAACCTGCATGTTCTGCACATGTATCCAAAAACTGAAAGTAAAATTTAAAAAATTAAAAAATAAATTAATTAATTTAAAAAAAGAAAATGAAAGCAATGCACCTTTGGGAGAAAATGTTCTCAATACACATGTTTCTTAAAGAACATTTTCCCAGAATCTATAAAAAATTCTTACAACTCAATAATAAATAATTCAATTAAAGATGGTCTTAAATTTGGAGAGATACTTCACAAAAAAATACAGATGGCCAATAAGCATATGAAAAGATGCTTATCACAAGTTATCAGACAATATCAAGTGTTCTCAAATATGTGGCACACCGGTACTCTTTTGTACATTGCTGGTGGGAATATGAAACAGTACAACCGTCTTGGAAAAGTCTGCCAATTTTTAAAATAAAGGTAAACATACACCCACCAATTCTATTACTAGATATATATCAAAGAAAAGTGAAAACAGGTCGGGTGCAGTGGCTCCCAGCACTTTGGGAGGCCAAGGTGGGTGGATCAAACTCCTGAGGTCAGGAGTTTGAAACCAGCCTGGCCAACATGGTGAAACCCCTGACTCTACCAAAAAATACAAAAATTAGCTGGGTGTGGTGGTGGGTGCCTATAGTCCCAGCTACTGGGGAGGCTGAGGTGGGAGAATCGCTTGAACCTAGGAGGTGGAGGTTGCAGTGAGCTGAGATCATGCCACTGCACTCCAGCATGGGTGCCAGAGTGAGACCCTGTCTCAAAAAAAAAAAAAAAAAAGGAAAAAGTGGAAACATGTGTTCATAGAAAGGCTTGTACATAAATGTTCATAGCAGGTTTATTCACAATAGTCAGAGAAATAGGAAACAACTCAAATATCTCTCTGTAGGTGAATGGGTACAAAAATCATGGTACATGTAAATAGTGGAAAGTTATTTAGCAATAATAGAAATGAATTACTGATATATGCCATAACATGAATGAATCTCAAAAGATTATGCTGACTAGTGAAATTTGCTAAGAGAGTAAGTCTTAAATGTTCTCACCACACATACACAAATGGTAATTATGTGAAGTAATGGGTGTGTTAACTAACTTGATCATGGTAATCAGTTTACCATTTATATGTATATCAAAGCATGTCGTATATCTTAAATATATATAATTGTATTTGTCAGCTATACCTAGTAAAGCTTGGGAAACCCCTTACACACTTAAAAAATATAACACTGTAAGAGGCAAACAGATGGCAATTCTGCTTTGCACAATACAAGCAAGGTTTGATCTTCTTCATATGACTTTTAAAATTGTATATAAAAATGAGACTCAGGCCGGGTGCGGTGGCTCATGCCTGTAATCCCAGCACTTTGGGAGGCTGAGGTGGGCGGATCACCTGAGGTCAGGAGTGCGAGACCAGCCTAGCCAACATGGAGAAACCCTATTTCTACTGAAAATACAAAATTAGCCGGGCGTGGTGGCACATGCCTGTAATCCCAACTACTCGGGAGGCTGAGGCAGGAGAACCGCTTGAATCCAGGAGGCAGAGGTTGCGGTGAACCGAGATGGTGCCATTGCACTCCAGCCTGGGCAACAAGAGTGAAACTCCGTCTTAAAAAAAAAAAAAAAAGAGACTCAAAATTGAAATATCTCTTTGAGAAACAAATACTTATCTGTGTAGGGTACAAGTATTTCAGATTATAATTCCCCCAAAAATATAACAACAACAACAAAAACGTTATGCTGAACAAAAGAAGAGCAAGACGAAAGAGTACATACTATGTCGTTTTATTCATACGATGTTCTGGAACATGGAAAAGTACTCTCTGGCATCAGAAAGCAGATCTGTGGTTGTCAGTGTAGGGAAGACTAATACAAAGGGGTATGAGGATGAAGGAAATGCTATATAACTTGATCTGTTTGTATTTGCAAGGGTGTATACATTTGTCAAAACTCAAATAACTATACATTTAAGATACGTGCATTACTTTGTATGTAAATTATACCTCAATAAAGTTGATTTAAAAAATGAAGAATACAGGCTTTTGCATTAGAGTGACCTGTTACTGCTTCTCATTTGTACCCCTTGTATAAGTTACTTATCTAAGTTCAAATTTCTTTGTCTGTAAACTGGGAATATTAATAGTATCAATTTCATACGGTTGCTGTGAGATTTAATAAGATATTATATGTTGTATACTTTCAAGATCTGTCATGGAACTTAAAAATCAAAGGTAGCTCCTATTACTGCTACACGTGGTTTTTTTTCTAATCACACCATGAAAGAATGCGGTTGATAATTCAGCCCATTTTTCAGAGGAGCTGCCTTTATAGATCTCAGAGTAGATGTGCACCTTTGCCTACCACCCACAGATCAGGCAGGCAGAACATACAGACCACACTCTGAAAAAGCACCTTCTTTAATGCCAACTATTAGCAGGGAAATTAGGCTAAACTTCCTCTCCCAGTTGAGCTAGAGTATGACAATCTGTGTGTCTGGATACGGGAAGGGGCCCCACCTTTTAACACAAATTGAGACTTCTTTGGAGCAGAGCTACCCAGTTAGCCTAGAGCTACTCCAGGCTGACTCCAGTAAAAATGGGCTCCCTGACCCAGCTAGGTGTCAGAACAATAGATCTGTCTTAGATTCATCTGTGGTGTTATGTTTCACTAAGGTTTTCTGCCCTCCTTGTCTATGACAGCTTGCTTGGCAACTTGAGCCTGCTCTGCCCACAATTTGGTTCTCTGCCACTTACCTTATGATTACTATCTCAGTAACAGCTCCTGTCTGAACTCACCAGTCACACACCAGTTTAATCACAGCCTGACTAGCCAGCTCTGCACCACCTCCTGCAGAACTTCTTGCCCAGATGGCTGCTGCCTTCTTGCCCAGATGGCTCTTCTCTTGGAGCCACCAGAAGAGTGAACCCTTCAGACTGAATAGCTCTCTGCTGGCACCTGGGAGAAGCAGGAAGAAATTTTTAGATTAAGCTTATTTGAACTTCTAATCTGAAGTATCAGAGATGCATTCCATCAACCCTGCCAGGGATTCCAGTCTAAGATAAGAATCGAGGATGCATAATGGTTTGAGATTAAGACCAGGGTTTGATGAAGCGGGGTTTAATACAGCTCATGCATACAATGCCTTATTTGTCTTTGTATCTCCTGTTTTAGAGGAAGCCTTTCTGTTTGCAAGAGTTTCCTCTCTTTCGACTTTTGATTCCATATGTTCCCTTGCCTTTGGATATTGCTCAGGTTAACCTAAAAACACACCCAGTGATGACAATGCATAGAACATTCTATTTGTTTCTTTAGGCAATATTACATAGTGGTTTTCACCTCAGACAGGCACAGATCTGAATCATCTCTGCTATTTATGAGTTGTGTGATTTGGGGTGAAGCCCTCTGCTCTAGCCATTCTGGCCTTTCTTCTGCCTCTCCAGCATGCCAAGCTCACTTTTCCAGGATTTTTGCATTTGCTCGTCTCTCTGCCTGAGACCCTTTTCATTCAGGTCTTCTGAGGATAGTTTCCTCTTGTCACTCAGATCTCAGTTCAAATGTCATCTCTTTGGATAGAACTTTCCTCACTATTATTTCTAAAATGCCCCACCTCAGTCACTACTGCACCATCTTATTTTAGTGTCTTCATAGCATTTATCTTATTTACTTGTTTATCATCTGTCTTCCCCAATTAGAATAAAAACTTCTAATCTGGGCACGGTGGCTCACACCTATAATCCTAGCACTTTTGGAAGCCGAGGTAGGCGGACAGCTTGAGCCCCAGAGTTTGAGACCAGCCTGGGCAACGTGGCCAAATCTTATCTCTACAAAAAAATACCAAAATATTAGCTGGGCATGGTGGCATGCACTTGTAGTCCCAGCTACTCCGGAGGTTGAGGTGAGAGGATCACCTAAACCAGGGGAGGTTGAGGCTGCAGTGAACTGTGATCGTGCCACTGCACTCCAGCCTGGGTGATGGAGTGAGACCCCGTCTAAAAAAAAAAAAAAAGAATAAAAACATCTAGAGAGCAGGGCAGGTCAGGAGGAACTTACCTTTTTCACCACAGTATCCCTAAAGTTTAGAATTGTACCCAGCACATACATAGCAGGTTTTTAGAAAGTTATCTGTTGAATCAGTCAGTAAGTTAGCATCTCCAAGCTTTAGTGTATCTATAAAATAGAGATAATAGTACTTTCCTATAGGGTTAATGAAGATAATATGAGGAAATGTTTGTAAAGGGCTTAGCATGATGCCTGACATATAGTAATTGTGCTATAAATAGTGGACATAGTTATTATTATTTCTGGCTGCATTTCCCCTCTCCTGAGTATATAAGCTCCTCTAGAGCACAGATGATGTCTTATTTGTATATTTCATATTGCTATGGATATAGTAGACAATAAAACTTAGTTTCAACGAAATAAAAATTTTTCCTAGTAAATCAAGGCTTCAAATAGGCGAAATAGAAAATACACCAACTGAACCAACCAAAGATGGTGAGCTCATATTTTGGACTCAGTTAATCAGCCCTCCTCCCAATGAGGGCTTTCCTGACTATCTCGTCCTGGGAGGGTCAGGGGATAAGGTGACTATCCCTTGTGTGGACTTCAGCCAGAGCACCAGTGCATTTGATTTCAGTCATGTGCTCGTAGGTACGTTTTCCTCTGCTAGACTGCACGTGCTTTGATTTACTTACTTTTGTATCCCCACCAGCTAGCCCCTTGCCTTCTCCTGTACGCAGTATAGAAGTATTGAAGAATAGAACAGTGGTAAAGGGGCAATAGCACAGGGATTAAGAATGTAAACTCTGGACTCAATGCATCTGGGTTCAAATCCTAGCTTCTGCCACTTACCAACTGGGAGGCTTCAGACAAGTTACTTGACTTCTCTGCGGGCCTCAAGTTCCTCATTCATAAAATGAGGAACAAAAGTACCAATTTCACGAATAGGCAATGAAAATATTT